ATCCAATTAGCATGGTTGTTACAAACAGAAATTTAAAAGATTCTGAAGCTTTTCCATTCTTTCATAATATTTCTCGTCTATTAACTTGTCTTTTGTTTAGTCTTGCTACATGTGCCACTTTATCTTCGATGGAAAATAATGCAGGTTACTTTGGTGAGTTAATCTGTGTACCAGTAAGATGAGTTTTGATTTGGTTGGAAGTTAAAAGGTCAAATTACTAGTGAATTTCACCATGATGTTTGAGAATTGAATGAGCACTGTTTGCATCTCATGTCTAGGTTCCGCACTTCTAAAGGAAAAGAGGAGGCATCGATTGCATAAATTCTTATGTCTCAGAGTTGGGAAACCGATGAGGAAGACGTTCGTGTCTCAGGCAAGTGCTACAATGCAGCAGTATGCACAGAGAGACAAGAAGCATGAGTACTGGTTCGCCGTGCCGCAGGAAAGGTAAAGAAGGAGAAGGGAAACGCAAATGTTTTCAGGTTCCCTGAGTTAGGATTGTTTTGTATATCACAATACCAGTGGCAAAATATCACTTCGAGTTACGTACTTTCTCATTGAAAGTTGACATTTAATCTGGGACATTGAAATCATTTGGCTTGTATTTGATCCTCTTTAATTTGTTCCCTTTGTAATTGTATCTTTGTGGCATATTGAAAAAGTGTGAACATGTACCAGATTTTAGTAGTGAAAACGAGTGCTTAAGATAGGACCATCAAAGTGCTGACTGGTGCAGCACTTGACTGAAGGCATGAATGGTGTACAGTTCCTTTACTTAAATTCCTTCAAATGTGTTGGTTGCCTACTGCATACATGACCCCAAATTAGCTACTAAAAAGTTGTGATGATCCTCAAGGTATTTCTTCTTGACCCTCTCTACAGTAAAGTCTTTCCTTTTAAGTTGAAGCAGTTGTAGATTTCTGTTGTAGTGTAATTACCGATGTTAAATTAAAACTGTCGATCTTTTAAATACCGCATACCCAGTAGAATCTAAACATCATAACAATGTGCCCTCTCATTATCTACTTAAAAACAACTTGGAAGTACTCTTCAACGGTTAAAAACAGCATTATTACTTTTTAGGCTTAAACTTGTATTTTCCTTTAAACCTACCTAAGAGTGTAATTATAGGATACTTTTATCCCTAACAGACGTTCTTTGCTACAAAGTACCTATACTTGTGCATTTATATATTTGTGTGTAAGTTTACTGAGATTACATTTATTATGTAACTTCCCATGACTGCTGGCAGAATGGTGAAGGCTCCAAGGCTTCTGCTGTCTGAAGCTCCTGGGCTAGCGTGCCTCCGTCTGTTGTATGCTGATGGAAATTGCAGTTATCCCCTGATGAATGTTGTCCATTGAAAGAGTGAGATAGGATTCAGCATCTCTTCTACCCCTTCCTTTGTTAAGGAGGCAGTTACACAAGAAGAGTTTTATTTTAATGTCATTCAATTCTTTAAATGTGTTTTTGTGTACATTCCAAAAAATTACTTTTTTTTTTTGTTTGTTTTTGTTTTTTTTCTATACCAGGAATTGAACTCACAATCTTGGGCTTGCCAGGCAGGCGCTGTGCTGTTGAGCTAAATCCTCAGCCCCAAAAATTACTTTTCTTTTACCAAATTAGTTTCACTCATCGTCAGTGAACAATTCCATTGAAAATTTAAGTTTGGGGTAAGAGCTTATTCCCCAGTCTTACAATTATTCCCTGCTTCCGCACCAGTCTTGGGCCCCTGGAAGCGTTTATATTCTGTGGTGTGTACCATTGTAAACATTTGCATGGATGAGCATATGCTCTCCTACAGTTTAGGAAAAACACTTCGTGAAAGCAGAGAACAAAGAATCTGCACTATATCTTGATCCTACAGATTAGTTTGAGCAAAGAGTAATGCAGAAGTTGAGGATGTAGAAATGCATTCCCTCAGATCTGAAGAGTCCATGTATGTCTTGGAAAGCTTATACTTTGAATACTACTACTACTTTTGAATATAAAATGATGAAGTTTCCCTCTTTTCCTACCCTACCAAAATAAACAGAGCATTGTATGTGCCTCCTATACAGTGTGATAATAGTAAAAAGTAGGTAGTATGCTTTACATAATTAATGAATACTTGAAAAGGATTGAATCAGATAATGAAATTTTCCAGTTATCTTTAAATGACAAAAATGAAAAATTCTAACTATATTTAGTACTACTCTTGGTTATATTTTAACTTTTATGTAGAGTTTTTGTTTTAATACTGTCCTTGAACCTTGCTGCTGTCCTCTAAACATTAATATAATTGGGATTCTGCTCTGTATTGTATTCATGTAATTTATAAAAATTTCTCTGATAGTGATAAATTATCTGAAAGATAAAAATTTAATACTCTTCAAATATGTCAGTTATCACATAAGCAATGATTTTTTTATCATTAGATAAGATATATAATTTCCAGAGCCATTCTTATTATTCTATGTTAGCTGAGAATTTTCTAATCAATTTTCAGTGATTTACACTAATTACAGTCAGTAGATATTTAAGATGTGTGTTTGGCCTTGAAAAACTTTTACCATAGAATACAACCTCTGGCTTTACTGTCGTTAGTTGGGAAGGAGAATCAAAAATTTAAAAGATTGGCTCACCTATCCCTGAACGAATAATTCATTATGTATATCTGGTATCATTTAAAATTTAAGGAAATTAAACTTCTTGTTAACTTGGAAAAATTCAATACAATGTTCATGTTTCAAAATAGGCAACTAGTAATTGTTTGCTTACATTTTAGTTATTAGATCATTGTATGATTGAGGTTAAAGTTATGAATTCTTCTTCCTTTCCCATCACTAGTATCTTTAAGAAAGAAAAACATTTCTGTATATAGATTTGACCCAGTCAAAAGCATGCCAAGGGAAAATCTTAATATATTTTTTTTTTTCAGAACAACCTGATCACAGTCAAATTTTAATCTGTCTTATTAAGGTCTTCCATATAATGGGCTCTACCTTTTTATATAATACAGTACATTGTATATCTATTTAAATCTTCATGTTTTATCAAGATATTTCACAAATATAATTTTGTAATTGTGACTAATACAGAATAGTAGTCCTGACAGGTTCTTGTTCTAACAGGACAGACCACCTGTATGCCTTCTTCATTCAGTGGAGCCCAGAAATCTATGCAGAAGACACTGGCGAATGCACCAGAGAACCTGGGTTCATAGTAGTAAAAAAGATTGAGGAGTCTGAAGCAAATGAGGAACCTACTAGTGAAGCAGCAGCCAGAGAATGGGAGGTAAGGAGAAAAACAGGAAGGTTGCATCCATCCTCTTCGTAGGAATTTGTAACTTTACAGTAATAAAAGTATAACTGATCTTTGTACCGAAGAGTGCTTTTTAAAGCTTCAGGCTCATTCTCCATGTCAATGTATGTTTATCCCGTGAATCTGCAGAGTAACTTCCATACTGTTTGCCACTTTGCTTTATAATACTAGAAGCATATCAGCAATAAAAGGACTTTTGTTTAGTGTATTTTAGAATATTTGGTTTAGAAAGGAGTAATACTATAGCAAAGAAAGAAATGCTGTTAATTACTGTTACAGTTATGTTTACCTAGGATTCAGTCACTTTCATTTTACCTCCTGCATGGAGCAGGCTCAGCAGACACATGCAGGCAAGGTAGCTGTCCTTTCTAACTCCCAGGCCTATGCCTTGTTGCAATTCAAAGTTAGCAGTAAGTAGTGTTGGGGAGACAAGCTGGTGCTAATTTTAGGAAGTAAGAAAAATTTTATGTGCTCAAATTTAGTGAACTTGTATAAGTAGCCAAATTAATACTGATAAGCTTTTGGTAACTCCTTTTAAGATTGTATTCTCTCATTTTACTTGCTTTTCATTGTTGGGCTGATAAAGTGACAGTGTATATTTTTTGTTCTTGCTGGAATTAATCTTTTCTTGATTTACTAGAAAATATAGAGCAGATGCTAAAATGTAACAATACATGGAATCACATTTTGTTATCTGTTTGATTAATGTTCGTGGTTGTTTATGTGATACGAATTTACTGTGCATGCATTTAATATGTATAATGATTCAAGGTATACATGGTATGTCTTTGTTTAAAATGTGAACCTGTTTTGCAGTGTCTCTAATTTCATTCTATGTAGTGTATAAAGCATCCATTTCTACTGCAATTTCAATGTAGTGGAGGGTTAAAAGTAAAAATATATTGAATGTTTATTTTGGGCTCCCTTAACACTTAAACCTATCATTAATCTCCTTACCAACTTTATTTATAATATTGAAAAACTGGAAAGAACCTGAATGCCCATTAGTAAGAGAATAAAGGGACGTGTTTTGGAATATTCACAAAATTCCAAATAAGATAGCAATAAAAAGGAAGGATCTGCTGGTATAGGGAACAGCATGGATGGATCTTACAGAGTAGCTGCAGAATACAGAGGCCAGACGCAGAATGTACCATGTGATTCACTGACATGCAGGCAGAAGGAAAGGTACCTGGAAACTCGTCAGGTCACTGGTTGGGAAGCTGGAGGGAGTGGGAGGAGGAGGAAGCTTCACAGAGGAGCCCTGGAGACAGACACACGTCCTTCTGCTGGTTCCGTGGGTGGTGACACATCTGAGAAAAAGAAAATTCCTGAGCTGTGTTTTTAAGCTTAGCTTTCGGAAAGAATGAAATAGTGCAGATTACCGAAGATGTGTGCCTGTACCTAAGCCACAGCACTTGATGATCTATAGTAGAAGGGTGTTGGCTTGCGGGTTCGGATTAGTGACAGCAGGTTAGGGTGGAGTTTCTAACTTAGGTGGCCGGGTGGGAGACGGCACTGTTTTCAGTTAAGGGAAGTGAGCGCTTTTTCTCGGGGTTGGAGCATTTAATTTTGGAAATTGTAGACTGCTCGTTTATAGATTCAAAGAAACTGCTTAAATTTCTGTGGAAGATCTCACAGATTATATTTTCTAGAGTAGAAAAACACAACTGTCTCCTTGGACCAAATTGGTTCAAGTGAAAGTTGAAGAGAAAAATTTTAACACTGTAAACTTTTCACTGCATTGTCTAGGACAGAACTATTATCCATAAAGTTGTTGAACTGTGGCTAATGCAACTAAGGAACAGGGTTGTTTAAATTTTAACACTGAAATTAATTGATTCCTTAGGTCAGTTTGAAAAATATGAAGAATAATTTGTATTTGTGATCTTTTTCAACGGCTAATATTATGAAATCTAAATGTGATCTAAATCTAAACAAGGTGAGGTAGTACTTCCTATGGAAATTTAATGTCTAAGATATGTTGTAGTGTAAAATACTATTTTTCTGATAGGTACAGTCATCATTAGCTATATATAGCTATTGAATCTTTAAAATACATTATAGCACATCTCAGAATAATTGAGATATGCTATAATGTAAAATAACACTGAAAATAACTTAATTGAAAGAGAAAATCTTTTTATAATGATTAATATTTAAATGATAACAATTTGGATATATTAAATTAAATATTAAAGTTTATTTACTTTTTTATTTTTAAATGTAGCTGCTAGAAAAATTTACAGTGGCTTATGTATTCTGCACTATATTTCTCTAACATAGTATGTGTTTAGTGCCTGATGAATAGTAACAAAAAATAATGTGTTAAATAGTGAATACTTATTGAAGTGAGAAAGTAATTTTAATTGTTAAAATGACTTTTCAGAAAAGAATTTGGCCAGAGCACTTCTATAAACCAATAGTATTTGAAAATAGCAAGTAATTAAAATTTTTTCTCCCGAGGGATGGAGAATAGGTGCCTTAGAATTTAGGATGAATTTATTATGGCTACCAACCTCGACGTGGGTCTGTTTGAGTAAAATAACTGCTCTGTTTCCTTTTACTTCATTTCCTGATGCCTAAAGATGTTCATTATCAGGTGGAAATGGGTACATGAACTGGGGAAACTTGCACGTGGTAAACTTACCTTTTCCTCATTTCCATTCCCTTCTACTCCCTGATTTGAGGCCCTGAGGCAGGATTTGCTGGTTTACATCCTCAGAGCTAACAAATGTTCACCAGTGAATCCCTCATTTTTAAAAATATTTATAGGATTGGTGAATAAATTTGGGCATAGGTTAAAATAGAGTTAAAGCTTTTTATCTTTTAAAATTGGTTTTTATCCTAAAATAAGTTCTTGTAACAGATGAACTCATAGACTCTGGAAATTAGAATTAACTGTCAGTTCAGCCTCTGTGTTATTTTACATTTTATACTAGTCTTTGTTCTAAATTTGTTTCCTTTTTCTATTCTCCTGCTAGTGTACATTAACAGCAGTAGCAAAACTTTTCTGTATCCTGTGATAATGTGAAAATATTTATCTTGCTTTTAAACTTTTTTCCCCGGATCATTTTCCCCAGTACTTCACCTGTTTAATGGGTTCTTTGCAGATCCTGTATTATCCTTGTTGTTACCCTGAGCTGTGTCATAGCATTTATAAGTTCCAGGGGGCACCCTAGATTGCTAAAATATGAACTTGGGATACCAGAAGAATTCTAATCTTAAATTTAATTCCTAAGTACATAAAATGAAGACCAGTCCTCTAATTAATGTTGTTGAATAACATTAGAAAAAGCAGGAACTTAAGAATTAGAAATATGAGAACAGCATGGAGAAAGAACAGTATTAGAGTTTATATAGTGAATTCCATTGGGAAGGTAGACCATCAGAAACCTGTGTTTGCCAGGTAAATGTAGGCGGGTTTTAGGTGGTGAGGAGTGCGAGCCTGTGTGGATGCTTTGGCGTAATTCCCGAGCAGTGGCAGAGGTCCTGGGAAACACTGTCCATGGTGGAAGGTCGTGTTGCTCTCCTGTCACAGGTAGACGATGTGGTGAGTCCTTGGTGTGTGAGGAGCCATACTGGACCACTGCATGCACAAGCCGGGTGCTGTTGGTGGAAGGAGGTTTTCAAGCAGTCAAGGCACAGAATGATGAAAGAAACCTTTCTCCATAGTGAACGAAATGTGTGTTTTTGGTGCAGCACCCACAATCAGTTGTGCTGTTCTTGGGGCCTTCATGACATCCCCTTGCAGTTGGGAAGGGGCTGCTTATTCCGGACTCTGGCCTCCTATTGTGTCAGTACGTGGGTCGTGGATAGTGAGGGCACTGCTTTCTGTGGGCTTTGCATTTTGCAGTGGGTCCTGCTCTCTGTTTCTCAGTGTTTTCATGGCAAAGTGAAGCAGGCCTTAAGGGGAAGGTAAGACACTTGCCCCCGTTGTTTCTTGATGATAGTGCTTTGTTTGGTAAATATACAAAAATGAGAGATTAGTTGTATGGTGAACTCACACGAACCAGTTACTCAGCCTTATTAGTATATTTCATCTATGTCCTTTTTCAGTTCACCTTTTTTCAAGTGTTGTCAAAAATTTTAACCATATATAATATGTTTCTACTTTGATAGTTTGTTTTCTGTGTCAGGATCTAAGTACCAAATGTTGGAGTTAAAGTGTGTCTTAAGTCTCTCTGAATATGAATTCCCCTTCTACTTTTCTTTATTTAGTATTAATTTTTAATAAATAAGACTTTCCCCCTGGTTTGGATTCTGCTGATTGCACCCCTATAGTGTCTGTTAACATGTATTTCCTGTAAACTGACCATTAAATCTAGGTCAAAAATAGGTCACCATCTTTATTCTATAGGTCACATCCCCAAGCTTATTTCTTACTTAGCTAACGTTCTCAAAGTAATGTCACAGGGGTGCATCTCTTACTTCGTAAGCCACACCAGCTCCGTAACTTTGGGAGAGTCTCGGAATCATCTTGTTGCTCAGGTCACAGTCAGACCTGTTAAGTCACATCGCTGCATCGTGGAACCACCCAGGTTATGCTGTGCATTCCAGGTGCTTACCAGCCCAGGCCGTCCACATGTAAGCACTGAGCGGGGAGATCCTTTAGACTGTGTGGACCATAACACAGTTCAGGTTGGGTCCCTATCATGCAAGTTACATGTATAAGGTGTTTATGTTCCTTTTATCTGGGTTCTGCACCCAAAACAAACATGGTTCTGTGTAGAGAAAGGTCTCTTTAACCACTCTGTGCCTTGATTCATTTTTTCTCTCTTTTTCCCTTTTGTTTTTTTCTTTCGTTTGTTTAGGACAGGTCTTTCTATGTAGCTCTGGTTGGCTCCCACCTAGCTAGGAAGTCTAGACTGGCCTCAAACTCCCTGTCTTTCTGCCTCAGCCTGTTCAGTGCCAAGATTATGGGTATCTAGTATCATGCCTCGATTTTTTAAAAAACTGTTTGTATTGCTGAG